TGGCTGCACAGACGAGCACAGAACACTATTTAGAGTCCCAGCCTCAGAGGAGATAATAGAGCGGTGGATTTATTGATTTATTTACTGTATATTGCTGCTGCCACATAGATTTCCCAGCTGTTTACCTTCATAGACATAACCGACTGTAACTCGTGTGAGTTTTTAACGTAAACTTGTGTGTGAATGAGAACTTAGTTTAGTACTCATTGTAAAAAGGGGCATTATATGTCTCCTTTAAGTTAATTGTTGTACTAAATACTGTGGTAAATGAATATGGTTATTGTTCAGTTCCATATTACCCAGATAGCACAGGTACAACTGCAAGATGTCTGTTAAAGATTGCTTCATCTGGAAAGCATCTGTGTACAAACATCTGATAGACGTCTTTAAGATACTTTTACATACATTCTAAATCATAAACATCAAGACATTCTCTAAACGTCTATTTGACATCTGATAGGAAACATCCTATAGACGTATTGCAGATGAGCAAGCACTCTAAAAAAAAATACGTTTTGCAGATGTAAATGAAGACATCAAATAGATGTCTCCGTGATATACGTGTGCTATGAGGGTGTATATCACAGTGCCAAAGAAAGAAATTACAAGATTACAAAATGGTAGTCTGTTTCTTTAATTTAAGATTAGATATGCATCATTCATAATCGGTTTCATTTACTGTTTTGTATGTAGTATGTTAAATGTATGATATATGGTGTGCTTATGTGATGGATTCAGGGCTGCTTCACTGAAATTCATCTTTTTTTTTTTCTTTCTTTCATTAAACAGACTCATCTGTAACAGCTCTGCCTCATATAAACCCCACAGTCCTACAGAATCAACTGGAAATCAGGGCCCCAGAATAACTGAGGGAATAAGGAGTCTTGTATATGTACTTAAAGCAAAGACATCAAAAAGGATTCTGTTAGTGATCAGGACAGAGCTTCTTGGACGAGCCACGGCTTATATCGCTGGGTGTTGAGGATTAGATTCTCTCTCTATCTTGTCTCTAAACGGCCTGCAGGGTGGCGAGAGAGAGGGGGGAACCCAACCGGTGCATGCCGGAGATGAGTGCGTTCTGGCATAAGATCGGCTGCTGCGTGGTAGCCAAACCTCCTCCGGTAAGTGTCTCATTTGGAGAGATTTATAGTTTTATTTCCACCACAAGTCGTTTTAATACAATAAAGCCTAGTTTTCAAGAATCTACATGAATCACAGGTACTGTGATGTCAGGCTCCTTTTGAGAACAACATCTGGACTAATTTCATCAATTAGGCATTCCCCGTGGCTCATGCGAGTTTTGTGTTCGCTAATCACGCGAAGAATGACTCACGCTGGTCTAGGGCAGAAAAGAAACCTTTCAGCTGATGTGAATGTGACCCAAATAGTCTTGGGAGTTTGTCAAGAGTGCAAATGTGTTTTTGAGAGTGAAGCCAGACGTGAAACACAGATGGACATAGAATTCTCTTTCATTGAACGGGTGAACATGTAGAGGTATGGATCCAAACCACTTTGCATGTGAGGAAGTCTGATAAATGTGGCCTCACATGCATATTTGACTTTTATCAAGAATATACACAACAGTTCAAAAGCTCAGGGGCAGTAAGAAAAAAAAAATAGTACTTTTATTTGGCAAGGATGCATTAATTGATCAGACAATATGGACATTTGTAATATTGCAAAACATTTCTGTTTTTACTAAATGCTGTTCTTTCAACTTTCTTTTCATTAAAAAATCCAGAAAAAATGGTTTCCACAAAAATTAAGCAGCACAACTGTTTCCAACTGTTATTATTAATAAAAAATGTTTCTTGAGCATAAAATCAGCGTATTAAAATTATTTCTGAAGGATCATGTGACACTGAAGACTGGAGTAATGGTTTTTGAAAATTCAGCTTCACCATCAAAGAAATAAATTCAAATTTAAAATATATTAAAATGCAAAACAGTTGTTTCAAATTGTAATAACATTTCACAATATTACTTTTCTTTTACTGTGTTTTTGTTTAAATAATTGCAGCCTTGGTGAGCATAAGAGATTTATTTAGAAAATGTAAAAAATGTTACCGACCCCAGACTTTTGAACAGTGGTGTATCACCATGTGCTATTCTTTTTTTTTTATGTTCACCCATAAATGAAAGTTTTGTCATCATTTACTCCCAATCATGTTGTTCCAAACCTGTATGACTGACTTTAAGTGGAACACAATAGAAGTTTAACATGTTGACTCTTCAACTTCATACTATGAAAATACAGTGACCACCACCATCTGTCAAAAAACATTTTAAAAGTACTGCATATGACTCACATACCATATATTCCTATACTGTATTACACATACTAGTCTTCTAAAGCCATATGATTGTTTGATATAGGTTGCTTGCTATTCTCTATTGCTATTTTTAGCTCTTAAATCTCATTCATGGTTGTACTTATTCAAAGTGGCACCACAAAATGCGTTGTACCAGTTTTGACCTTAAAAGTTGCTGCTTCTTGCACACCTTGATCATGATGTGGCAAGTTTTAAAAGCATTTTTATGTGATTAATGACTTAAATATCAGTCTGTTCCTCGCACAAAACAATTGTATGGCTTTAAAAGACTTTGAATATTGAGTCATATGGATCTCTTTATGGTGCTTTTATGATCCTTTTTGGCACATGACAGTCCGTGACGGTCTACTTTCATTTCATTGCAAAAGAGCAAGTTTGGACGTTCAGACATTCTGCTAAACATCTCCTTTTGTATTGCATGAGCAAAAGAAAGTCAGAGTTTGGAAAAAAAGACTAAATGATAGCAAAAATTTATTTTGGGGTGGACTATCCCTTTAATATTCCTGTAAGTAAAAGAATAATTTTCTAGAACAGCTTTGCATATTTGACAGATTACTTGGCTTAATTCAGTCTTTGTTAGTCAGTTTGTTTTTATCTAGATTGGGGTTCTGAGGCAATGATGAGTGACCCAGGTTTACCATGGTCTCCTGTAACAATGACAGGGGGTTCTGAAGGGAAGCTGGCTCCTCCGAGCTGGGAGTGCTCATTCTTTTCCTCCCTCCTTCCTCTTATTATTTTTAGGTTCTTGTTTGTTCTGTTGTTGGGTGGGGGGTTAGGTTAGACAGCAGTGGGCATCTGTAACGGACCAATGCTACTTCCCAGTGCAAGAGCAATTTTCTTAGACTGATTTAGATAAAATGATTACATTTCAAGTGTATCCTTACGTCAGAGAAGGTGATAAGGACTAAAGCATGTGCCAAGGGTTTGCTGTGATATGGGCCATTGACTATATAAAGATTATGAAAGTAAACACCTTTCAAGGATGTCTGGAGTTACGTAAGAGATGTTGCATTTAAAAGGCTAACTTTAGGCTGTTTCCACACTGAATTGCTTGGTCCAAAACAGAAAAATACAGAATGATCTTTCTTTCTTTCTTTCTTTGTTTCTTTCTTTATAATATATAATATTCTTTCTAATTAATAATTAACAGCAGTACATCATTCATAAGTCTAATGAACACAGTTAAAATTTTGAATAAAAGGTACATAATTTAACAACAAAAATAAATAATAAAAACAATAAGAACAATGATTTTGTTATTCAATCATTTATTATTATTATTTAATTGTTGTTGTTGTTGTTGTTTATTATACAGAAACTAAAAATACTTCTAGCTTCAAATAGTACCTCAAAGTGCTCATTAAATTTATCATATTGACTACGATAATATTGATTATTTTAAATAGAAAAAATATTACCACTGTTTAGAAATAAATATTGATATAATAATGTGTGAAAAAAAAGCATTATTATTATAATTATTTTTAACATCATACAGAATTAAAAAATATTTATAGCCCTGTTTTATTCCAAATCGTATCTCAGTGTTCATTAGATTTGTCGTATGGATGATTATTTACTTGGAATATTTAGAAAGAAAAAACTATGTATATAATAGAGTAAAAAAAGCTTTTTATTTTTATCATTGTTGTTATCGTCATCATCATGCATAAACTAAAAATAAATATTTATAGCCCCATTTTATTCAAAATTGTACCTTAAAGTGTTCATTAGATGTCATATTGATGAATATTTCATTAAAAAGCTTATTGATATTATTTAGAAAGAAATAACAATCCATGTGATAAGAATATTGACATTAAAAAGTATTATAATAATAATAATTATTATTATTATTATTATTATTATGCAAATGTATAAATATGTAATGAATAGTGACTCACTTCTGCGAGTTAGGATGGTTCATACAAATTGTAATTGATACCAGAGTTCTCATACACTGGTTCGGTTTGCATATCCACCTTTACACCAACCAAATGATCTGAACACTGACAGCCAACAAACTGTAGTCTGGTCTGTTTCAAAAACTATAGTCTGAGATTTCAGATAAGTCTAGAAGATGTATTTTATGATTGACAATATAAATCCAGTGCTGTATGTTCTGTAAAATGCACTTTGTTCACTCTGGACGGACAAGTAATAGCATGTATGCCAACACCCCTACTATGGCACATGATCTCATCAAATAATTATTCTGGTTGTTGATACAAGGTTTTTTTTTTTTAGATTTACTTATATAATCTCAGACTAACTCTACCGCATAGTTATGGGAAACACTGAAAAGAAACTGTAAACTGTATAACAGTTGGGGATTTTTAGGAACTCAATGAATCCTGCTCATCTTCAGGATGTATCCAGGAATAGATTCCATAGGGAAACATTAGTGTGATATCACCCAGACTCTGGTGTGTTCTTTGTATGGTCACATGACAGGCTTAGTTGAGCTTGTATTTTCAACACTTTGGGTTTACGTCATGCTGTTTCACCAATTTGCCGATCAAGCGCTTTGTATCTTTGTGCTGGACCTTTGTTAATTTAAGCATCTATGTTCACAGAAGAAGAAACGGAGGAGAATTGACCGTAGCATGATCGGAGAGCCCACAAACTTCATTCATCTGACACACATAGGCTCTGGTGAAATGGCAGATGGCATGCAGCCGGTAAGACATGTTTTATTCTGTTGGTACAGTGAGACTCCCATTTTAACGTTATGGCATGGCTATAATTAATTTACAGTGACAGAATGAATGCTTCTACATGGATTCTTTACTGAAACACTGGCTCATACCAGATTGTCGCAGGCAACACATTAAAATCCAGAGTGTTGCTGGGATCTTTGTAATCGAAATCCCTGTTGTTGTTTTAGTTTTTTTTGCCGCCTTTCCCTTTCGTTTTTGCCCTCAAATATGAACATGTCATGTTTTAATGCTTGACGTGGATGTTGGAGGTTCCCTGATAAAGTGGTCAGCCTGTGCTGCCAAGTTTTTCAGTTTGTCTTTATAATAATAAATAATTCAAATAACACAATAATAATGACAATTGGTAGTAGCAGTAATATATATTTTTATGTAAAGACATCATAGATGTCAAGAATTCTAATGAACTTGGGAGTAGTAATATTTACGATTTAAAAAATATACCAATTGCCATTATTATAATTACTGTTTTTATGTAAAGACATAAATATCAAGACTATAAATTTAATGAGCTATGCAATACAATTTCAATGTTTTTTGTTTGTAAAAAAAGTAACAAATATTAAAATTTTATAATAATACTGCTACTACTAAGAATAAAATTTGTTATGATTATATAAAGGCATCATAAAGGTCAAGACTTCTAATTAGCTTGGGAGTAATAATATTTATCATTTTATTTTAATTAGTAAAAATATACCAAAAATATTATTATCATTACTATTATTATGTAAAGAGTAAAACTATACATTTAATGAGCTAGAGAACAATACAATTTCAATGTTTTTTTTTTGTTTGTAAAACAAATATTTTAATTTTATAATACTGCTACTTATAATAATATATATTATGATTATGTAAAGGCATCTTAAAGGTCAAGAATAAATCTAATGAGATAGGGAACAATAATATTTTATTAGTTCACAAATCAATTGAATAAGGTAGACATGCTGCATGTGTAAGATGTGATCCTGAGATGGGACTTGTGTGCTATCTTAGCTCATGTTCATTGGGCTGTTGTGCTGTCAAATAAGAAGGTGAGGTGTTGTCTAATCCTGCAGCTCACACAGGGACTGAATACCTGGGCAGAATCAAGCAGACTGCAACTTGCTCAGAGGAATGTTGGCGGGCGGCCCGTCAGAGACAGAGTAGAGCTCTTTAAATTAGGAAATGTTCGTCAAGGTCTTTGCAGCGGTCACTGATTTATTTTTTTTATTTTTATTTTTGTGCCAATCTATAGCTTCATGTGTGGTTTGCAAAATGTACAGCACTTAGTGGAACACCTCTTAAGAAGTTAGCTATTTATTCAATGGCGGCTTTAACACTTTTATCAAAGAAAACGCTGGACCTGTAAAAAATACAGCACTGATAGCTGAAACGTCTAGTGATAAGCAGTATTGTTTGATATCAGCCTTTCACAGTCCATGTGATGAACACAGGTGACTGACCCGCCGGCTTTTCCCTTGTGGTTCTGTTCTTTTGTGTTGTGTTGGGAAATTGTTATAGAACGACCTAGTGAAATGGACTTCCTCCTCATTCTGCTGCTAGATGCTGTGTTCCTGAGACACATGATGTAACAATGGGTGTGACGCTGTGAAGAGCTCTGTGTGTGTGTGTGTGTGTGTGTGTGTGAAACAGGCTTGTTGTTGCATGAAGGATGTTTTTCTTTTCAGCTCCACCTCTTGTGAAGTGTGAATGTCTTTTACTGTTTGTTTATACATCATTCAGCAATACAGTCTTTCTATCTAATGAACACTATGCCATATAAAAAAGCTTCATTTGCATTAGGGCTGGGCGGTATCGAGTTTGTACGATATATCTATATTTTCTTTAAGCGATTCGATATGAGGCAATACTGTTTATATCGATATACAGTAGTTTGATATGAGCGCATCTAAAAAATATAGCGGAGGACACAGACTGAGCTGCTGTGGAGGAAGTGCATAATCCAATTTGTTCTAAACATGTGACAAGCTTCATATTAAGGCCTTTAAAAACTGGTAATACATAGTTTCGTTTGGCATATTAGTTTAAACTGCTCGGCCAGTCATATGCTCTAACAGAAATTCTGCATGTGCCGCTGACAGAGATGCTACTCGCGCTGTTTAATGTGTTTGAGATATGCTGTCTTCTTGAATGCATAACTTATATTTCACAGGTATATTCTCCATGTTAGAAATGTTAGAAAGCCATGGAAATATTTCAATTTTTCTATCAGAAATGCATGAGCATAGGCGGAGGGTGGACCAACTCCAAGGTAAGGCTGAAAGCAGCCAAATCTATTAACTACAAACATCATAAACCCGTCGTTTTAGGCAAGAACCAGACATGGGTGTCATGTAGGCTAATAAAATATGTTTAAAGGGACTGAATTTGTATTGAACGTGATTACAGTTTAATAAAAAACATTAGAAATTGGTAATTATAAAACGTTTCCTTTCCAAGGTTATTCAAACCGCGAATAAATTATTATACAGAAAGTGACATTATCACTAACTTAGATCTATCGCGAGTTTAAGCACTCTCAAAAAAAACAAAAAAACTATCGTTATAATCACTGAAGCTGTCTAGTCTGCACTGTGAAATGAATCTCTTACTTACATTGTACATACATCTGCGCGTCCGGAATTCAGTCAGCGAACGCGCGCCCACTCAAAACTGATGAGTTTCAGCGATGACTCATCTGAACGCCTCTGATTGGCCATTGCATTCCTAAGCTCAACATAATCGTGTGTGATTGGTTATAATGCGGAACACTGTATAAACGCCTAAACTGAAATACGGTGCAACATGAGCAGATCTTAATTTAATGCCGCAATCGATCACTTTATATTCATTTTTATTTTGTTAGCAACAGTCGTAATCGATTTAATTTGTTTGTGCAGGGGCATTTTTGTCCAATTTAGTGGCATTTTTGCCCCAACTCGCTGTGGCTAGGGGAAGGCTTAGCCTTACACACGCTCCGCCTATGTGCATGAGCCTTCTGCTTTGAGATTCTCCGATATATATATCCCAATTACAAAGACGAAAATACCGAGATATATACCGTATATCGCAAATCGGCCAAAAAATACCGAGATATGAATTGTTGCCCATATCGCCCAGCCCTAATTTGCATAGATGACACTCCTTATTTTCCAAGTTTTATTATTATTGTTGTTGTTATATTATTATTATTTATATTATCATTAATATTATAAAAGTAATGAGTAAACAAATTATAGTAATAGGATGATGATATTATTATTTGTAGTAATATTTGCTATATAATATATTTATTGTATATATAGTACTAAAATTGCATTAATTTTTAATTTATTTAATTATTATATTAATAATATTTATTGTTAATAAATAGTAGTTTGATGTTTATTAATGTTATTATTATAACTTAAGTAATGATGAGTAAAAAATTATTATAATAATGGTAATATGGTTATGATATTATTATTAATAGTAGTACTATTATTTTTTCTATATAAAGTGTTTATTGTGTATATAGTACTGAAATTGTTTATTTTACGTATTATATTTAAATATACTGATTTTAAATTTTTACTTATTTTTTACTTGTGTGTGTGTATATTATTCTTATAATTTAATGCTTCTTAAATAGCAGTAACATTCAATAAATGCTCTTTTGTTTGACTCAGGAGGAAGTTTTGAAGTCTGAATGTAACAGTTTTTTTTTTTTAGTATATCAGATTCTTTGGCCTCACTTGAAGAGAGAAATTTTCACTTTATGACTACTTTAAGACTTAGATCATATAAATGGAAAACTTACTGTGCTACTAAAAGTATAGTTGTGTTTGTTAAAGTGGACTTGATGTTAATAATTACGCATGTTTTCCATGCCAATAACCTGATTGTGTCACTTCCTTTTGCAGTCTGGCCCAATGCAGGAACAAATGAGATCCAAAGTGCCTCACGCTAATGGACGAAACAGCTTATTATAGCCTCTTTACCTGTGAGTATGAACACTCACACACCTTCCTCTTCTTCTCCATCCTCTCGCTTTCACTCAGTTTTAACCACAGACCCTCATCTGTTCCCCAGGCTTTTTTGTTTTTTACCCGAAGCCCCGTAGAGTGTCCTCGGCAGAACCTGTGCAGCTAGCAGCACTGCACCAATGAGGAGGAGATAAAGAGCAGATCCTGATCACCAAAACGACAACCTCCTTGCTGCAGCTACCAACATGGATGCCACCTCTGCAGGTTTCTTATGTTTTGGATCCTCTGGAATGTCTCAGAGGAGACTTTTAACCCCCCCACTCTAAGACTGTTATTAAATTTGGACCGGATTGTATGAGAACGCCTGACAAAGAGTGTGAATGTGTGCCGTGTGCATTTGAGACACTGGCTGTGCTTGCTGTGGAAGAGGAAAGGCTCTTATCGCTTTAACACAGGGGACTATTTGACTGCCTTCCCAAAGTTATAACTGGCATGTTTGTCACAGTCTGTCATTGATAAGGATGTGCGCAAGTGTGTGTTTGCTTTTGTTTTGTAATGGAAATGTATGTGCACCAATACCATTATAGTGTCTCCAACTGCTTGCATTAGCAGTTGCACAAATTAGTGCATTATACAAAGCAATCCGGTATGTGTATAGAAGATGAATATGGTATGAAAATATGGCTTTTTTTATTTCCACATGTCTGATATTGCATTAACAAATAATGGCCTTTATAACTATAAAGGAATAGTTTAAAAAATACTCATTTATTCACCTTCAAGTCATTCCAAACCCATATGTTTATTTTATCTGTGGGAAAAAAATTATACATTTTCATACAGTGATTTTCAGTACAACATCAATGCGGACTGACGTAATGTTTAAGCTGTAAAATAAAAATATCGAAAAGTGGCCCATATTCCAAGTTTTCTGAAGTTTTCCATTTGCTTTATGTGAGGAACAGACCAAATGTGTCATTATTCATTGATTAGCATCCCCTCAAATGAACACTCTAACTTGAGAATTACATGCTACAGGAACATTGAGTCGATAATTTGGGAAGCGATCATAGGGCTTCAGGTGACTTGGAATATAAAATGACTTTTGTGGACCATATTTTGTGCTTATTTTAATTTTTTGGGGTGGGGGAGCAACTAACAGGCACTGACTTGTTGTTGTATTGAAAAAAAACTGCATGAAAATTCTTCTAAAATTCTCCACTGTAAAAAAAAAAAAACTGCATTTAAGTCTGGAAGGATGTAAGGATGAGTAAATAATTTTTTTAGGTTAATTATTCCTTTAATCCCTAAGTATTAGAAAAAGGCTATTATCTGTTTATCTGCGTGGAGACTTTGAACGGTGGCTTCCTGCCAGTAGCGAGCCACTGCCCTTTGTCATTGAAACCACATTTAGTCTCACTTTCACACATCAAGCTCCACCCCACACACAAGCTCAAACACACACTCTCTGTTTCCAGTCCTCACACGGCACCACGATTAAATCACTGTTTCACACACTTTGTATACTTTACTCTGTACTTTGTTTTTGAATGCAGCTCAATGTAGCACAATGTTGGGCTGAAATGTTAAACACAATGTTTTTGCTTGTAATTGTGATGTTTTATTTTGAATGCATTGCTTTGCAAGATCCCAAACTGTGTTTGCTGTAATTTGTTAGGGAATGTCACAGGAAAAAATGTGCGTAGAGAAAGCTTTCAGAATGTGCATGTTGCTTTAGAAATCCAGTGTTTTTGCGTATTTTTTGCATTTTATTCTTAGCTGACAGTGTAGAGAAAGGTGCAGATGTTTGCATCTCAGCCAAAGACCTCGACAGCTCCCTTAACTTAATTATGCATGTTTCTTGCAGATTTTCTCACTTTTTGGTTTTGTTTGTGTGACTGTTTGCCCATTTTAAAAAAAATTTTTTTTTTAAGTATCTGTCTTTTTAAAGCTATAATGTTTGTGCAAAGCACTCATTAGGCTCTTTTTGTCTTTAATACTTTTATTATTCTTTACTTTTTTATTTTTTTTTATAAACGTCTTTTAGTCTATTAGTCCAACTGATTGATTTTGTGATCAAATGGGAGCAGTAATAGTGTTCTGTTCATATGGCATGGTGTTATGTTGATGAATGTTTTTGATGTGCTTTGGTTTGTAACAATACAGTTGTACAAAGAGCAGTCTGTTGGGTTTTTATTGAGACACGCACAGTAATATTATCTAACGTGAATTTTCAAAAATGCTCTTGAGATAATTTGAGAAAGGTTGATAAACAAGTTTATATATAAAAAAAATTTTTGACATTATTTTACTTTGCTCTTTGCTTTGTGTCTGCATGACTAATAAAAACTATAATTTTCTAATTCAGTTCTGAGGAAAAAAAGTCAATCGTAAGATGTAAACTCAGAATTCTGACTTTTTTTCCTCTGACATACGTACATATCGCAGTTCTGGTTTTTCTTCCTGCTACAGAAAAAAAAAGATAATTGCGACTTTTTATCTCACAAAAAAGTTGAAATTACCTTTAATTTTTTATTCCGTGGCTGAAACAAACTTCCTTAAATGTCCATGGCTGCAAAAAGGAGCATAACTAATGCAATAAATAAGGATTTCAACAGGATTTTCTTATTACTGTAAATATATTAAGGGCATTTAGTGAGGGCTCAGGGCTGTGCCTTGACTTTGTGTTTTGTTTTCCTTGCCATTCGTGTTTGTACAAATGTAAACCTTAAATTTATGGGCTAAGAAATCAAAACTGATCCCTAAAGCATGTTTTAACATCTACTGTAACAGCCGTTAGTAAAGCAGCTCATGGAGCACTGCGTGAAAGGTTGCACAAGACCCCTACAAAAACAAACAATGAACCTTTGGCACGAAGATTATTTAGGTCTCAGACCGGTACAGAGCATGTTGCATTTTAATTTCCTTTTTCTCACAATGGCTTGAAAAACAGTAAAGCAGGCCGTCACAGACTAATTGTGTACACCTTCTGAGATATTTCAGTTGCTTATATTTACTAAACATGCCTCCTCATTCAAACATCCATTGTCTCATTCAGAAATTCATAAAGGATATAATTTTCTCAATTTTATTAAAAAGATAGGATACAAAATAAATGAAATAGATGCCACAGATTCTAAAGAGAAATTTATCCTAAGTTCATTTGATAATAAATACAAGGTATAGAATAAGGTTTCACAGCACTCAATATCAATGTCAATATCCGTTTTTAACATATTTCTTTATTGTTTCATTCTGTTGTGCATTCAACAGATGCATCTGAAAATCAGCTCTGTTGAAGTACTATTATGTTAAATGACCATTCTGTAGTTGATTCATTTATATAAGAATTATTCGCTTAGACAAATCCAAGACATGAACTTTAGTTTCTACTAAACATTATTGACTTGCATAACCCAACATCTGGCACATAAAGCATTACAACAGGAATCTGTTATTTAACCTTCCAGAAGTTCTCGCTCTGTTCCTGTTTGTGACTTCAATGCAGCTACCTCACTTCCTCCCTCTGCCAGAGACGGTTTCCTGACAGGCGCAGGGATATCTCCATGGCGACTCTCAATCAAAAATTTTTTTAAAAATCCCCTCCCACTATTTCCTCATTACAATTAACAGCATAACACAACAGTAAATCACAGCAGGTGTTTTAATGTAACCCTTTATTTCCTTAAATATCATAGACAAGACATACATGTAGTATGTGCAGTTTGAAAGCTCAGGTTGTTCAGGTGTGGCCTTGTATAAATATTTGCACATAGGAGTCTATTAAATGAAAGCACATTCAATGGGCCACTTTACAGGCAGCAGCAGCTGATCATTAGAGAACATTTCCCAACCATATTCCAGAAGGAAACCAAGCACGATTATATTTGCAACAAGTTTAAACTGAACAATGCGGCTTCTTACAGCAATATTACACACTTTGTTTGTAATAGCTTTCTGATTTTGCATCAAGTTTGAGCATTGCTGCATTTGTGCTAAAAACATTCACACGTGATTAAATGCTCAAGTACAATGCATTTTACAGAATAGATAAAAACAATTTGAATAAAATAGAGTCAATACCACTTTACAAGACTTATAAAAACAGCCAGATAGTAGTTTGAAGAGTTTGAACCATATACATATGATGGTTCATACAGGTTTCAGATAACATGCAACAAGATTTTGTAACCATTTAGTGCAAATATTAAAACTAATATTTATCCTAATTTGGGTATGTTCACTGTAAGTCCAAAAGGAAATGTTTCAAAAGAAGTATTTGGTATTTCTCATGCCTAAATCTAATAGGTTTTATGAAAAGTAATTGGTATTAATGAATGTCATTTTCTACAGTCTGGGAAACATGACAAGGTTGTCTGTTTTTGTGTAACAGTTTAAATGCAATGACGTCAAACAGGCTTTCATGTTGCTCACAGAACTATCCTGACCCACCTTACGGCATGACCACAGCTCTGTCTCTCTGAAGCACAACACTGTCTTTTTGTATTTCATCAAAGAGTCGTCTGGTAGGAAGCCATTTTTCTGTCATTAGGGCATTTGCCCTAAAGCTTGACCTTTAACCCCAGTCACATGCATGTCACCCCAGTCCAGTGTGAAGTCTGTCCATCAGACACCTTCACCTGTTCATCTGCTCATCATACCTGCAGAACAAAACAAACCATCTCCATCACTGGTAGCACTTTTTATTTAGTGAAAACAATTAAGAATTAAATGTAGCTAAAATCTATTTAGAAAATATTTCAATATAAATGGATACTTTTTGATGTCATTTATTTACAGAAAAAAGCCCAGGTAGGATAACAAGGTGAATAATATACAAGTTAGATTCAAGCATATCTCTTTCACTGGTATCTAATTTTTCATTTATTCGAAACAATAAAGAATTAGATTTATTGACAATATTTATTTATGAATTGCACATTTAATGATACATTTGATGTAAATTATTTACAGAGAAAAGACTAGATATGATATGACATATCACTTTCACTGGTATCATTTTTATTTATTTAAAATAATAATAATAAAATCAAATATATTCAAGAAATGTATTCATGAAAATGATCCAAAAATATTTATTTTATGAAAACATCTAATTCATATATTTTAAATGTAATAATTAGGATCTATTCATAAATGTATTCATTTAATTAAAAAGATCAATAAATATTTATTTTACGAATACATTTTATCAGTAAATGTAATTGTTTAATGAAAACCATGATACCAGTGAATGTAATTAAGTCAAACTTGTATAATTTCCTTACCCTATTTCTTTCCTCTTTTCCCCCATCGTTTCTGGTCATTTCTCATTAAATAATTTACATTAATAATGATCGATACATATTTCTTTTATATAGAAATGACAAGATTTGATTATAGAAGCTGGACTCAAATATAAAACAAAGAATTTATTTTTAAAATGAATAAAAATTATATATCTATATACTGTATATCTCTCTCTCTCTCTCTATATATATATATATATATATGAATTTTCTTTTTAGTCCAGGTTTTGAAATAATGACAGCGCACTATTGTGGCTTGATGTGGACACTCACTGTCTGATGCAGTCTGGGATTTGCAGCTGGGCCACAGGAACAAACTCTGCCAGTTCCTGCAAGCTGTGGATGAAGCGCATCTTCCTGCTGAATTTCTCACTGCAAGAGAGAGGGAAACGGGTCAGACTGAGGGCTTTATATTTGAGCTCTGTTTGCTGAACTAATGATCATCCACACTCACCTGATGAAGGGTTTGATGACGGTGATTAACGCTCTCACGTACCAGGCTGGGTGAACCACGAAAAGCCCTTTCAAGTCTTTCCTTAACCTGCAGAGGGTTTATCAGAAAAGAAAATATAGTTAATAGCTCAATCAGAAGAGCAAAGGCAAATAACTATGTATTAGCACATAAATCTATTTTGTTTCCAATAACTGGTTGGTTCTCCCACTGGAGAAGCACGATGCCAGCAGAACATGACGACTGGCACCAGCACCACCCTGACACGTGTGAAACCATCAGAGGCAGGGTGTTGAATCATGGGACACAGCCAGCCAGAAACTTGGAGACGACAGTTTGTTTATAACATATTCCACTGGTTTCCTAGCTCAGAAATCATCCGCAAATTGAACTATTTTTTTCTGTTTCTTGCATATGCTCAAAGACATTATTCTGCTTGCCACAAAAGACTTTATTCTGATCTACAGTGGGGTCCAAAAGTCTGAAACTGTCAGTAAAAATTATTTTTATTTTGCATTTTAAATTTAATTAAATTACATTTAAAATTTGTACAATTTAATTATTTTAAGTTAATCTAATATTTATATTTTATTTTCCACTTTATTTCAGTTAACAAAAAACATTTTCAATTTTAACCTTTTAGTTAATGATAACAGCACTGTTTAAAATTATTACCAACTTAACTGAACAACCTCATAAATTGAACAATTTATCTGTTCTGAATTTTAAAAAAAAAGGCTATAAATTGAATAATGGTAATATTTAGTCTCTCTCTCTCTCTCTATATATATATATATATATATGAATTTTCTTTTTAGTCCAGGTTTTGAAATAATGACAGCGCACTATTGTGGCTTGATGTGGACACTCACTGTCTGATGCAGTCTGGGATTTGCAGCTGGGCCACAGGAACAAACTCTGCCAGTTCCTGCAAGCTGTGGATGAAGCGCATCTTCCTGCTGAATTTCTCACTGCAAGAGAGAGGGAAACGGGTCAGACTGAGGGCTTTATATTTGAGCTCTGTTTGCTGAACTAATGATCATCCACACTCACCTGATGAAGGGTTTGATGACGGTGATTAACGCTCTCACGTACCAGGCTGGGTGAACCACGAAAAGCCCTTTCAAGTCTTTCCTTAACCTGCAGAGGGTTTATCAGAAAAGAAAATATAGTTAATAGCTCAATCAGAAGAGCAAAGGCAAATAACTATGTATTAGCACATAAATCTATTTTGTTTCCAATAACTGGTTGGTTCTCCCACTGGAGAAGCACGATGCCAGCAGAACATGACGACTGGCACCAGCACCACCCTGACACGTGTGAAACCATCAGAGGCAGGGTGTTGAATCATGGGACACAGCCAGCCAGAAACTTGGAGACGACAGTTTGTTTATAACATATTCCACTGGTTTCCTAGCTCAGAAATCATCCGCAAATTGAACTATTTTTTTCTGTTTCTTGCATATGCTCAAAGACATTATTCTGCTTGCCACAAAAGACTTTATTCTGATCTACAGTGGGGTCCAAAAGTCTGAAACTGTCAGTAAAAATTATTTTTATTTTGCATTTTAAATTTAATTAAATTACATTTAAAATTTGTACAATTTAATTACAGTTGAATACATATTCTAACTTTAAACATTTTTTTTTTTTTTTTACATTTTTTAACATTAACATTCAAGTGAAACACTGAATTGAAAAATCATCATGAATTCCAGAGTTTATATATATATATATATATATATACATACAGGTGCATCTCAATAAATTAGAATGTTGTGGAAAAGTATATATATATATATATATATATATTTGTTTTATCCCCCTTTTTGCTTTAAACATTTCAGAAAGATCCAGAGTGCATCTTTGTATACCAATGGAAGCAATATGGAAACAAACATTCACTTATTTGATATTTGATAAATCTTTTGTATTTATACAGTATTTATTGGCATTTTTGTTTAAATAAAAAATGCTAAATGTTTTTCAATTTGATTTTGATCTCAGATTTTGAATGCGATCTCAGAATGTTTTGTTTTCCATGAAAAGGTCAGGGTTTCCTCTGAAACTGTGAAGAGTGTGGCAAAATTTACTTTATCGCAGGATAAAGTTTCCCTTTAGATTCACTGGCATTTCACATGAGTTAATTTTCCTCCTCGCAGTTCCTCTTTGATTGTGTGAAGTCATGCTTGACTGTTTATTTCTGTTGTTTTCAGTTGGCGTCTGTACAGTCAGCAGCTTATGAGTGATCGCAGAGGAAACTTCATGCAGTGACGCAACAGAGCCAGCAGGAATGACAAATCAGGCTTTCAAGAGCATCCCACACTCCTTAGTTCCTCATTTCCCAAATTGATCTCACATGATAAGTCAACCTTAAATTTCCAGAGTTTACAAATTCCTCACATAAAACATTTATGAGACTGACCTTCACCTGGAAGAATGAAATACAACTGTGAGATAGCTATGCCAGAATTAAACATGAATTTACTATGGTAATTCTTTTGCTGGTCAATAATCGCATAACAGGGCCTTTTACAACCCTGTCCTGATCCTAATCACCCCATCGGGTTTATGTTGGGATAATGACTGGCTGACTGTACATAACCAAACAATACATCGAGTACATAGAGATTTTGTAAATAACATTGACGTCCATTGAGAACAGCCACACTGGCCTTAGAGAGCCGACACAAGAGTTATAAACCTTAAGCAACTAATCCACAATGAAGTAAGCAATCTAAAAATGTCTAAATATAGCAACAACGACAAAAACACATGACAGCTGAGAAGAGGTCAAAGGTTATCTGAGGAATGTCTGGAAGAACTCCGATAACATGGCCTTCTATGTATGAGTCCACAGCATTCCTATCATATTTCATATGAGGGGCATTAAGAAAAAGAGAGTGGAGGTGGGTTCTCATGTTCAACAGGAACTAAACTAAAGCGAGACTGTCACAGGCAGAGCTTACACACACACGCCCTCTTCTGGAACTGATGGAAAGTGCCACTGTAGTTTCATGAGACGTCAAAATATAAGTTTTGTGGCTGTTTTAGTGCATGTGTTTTTGTCTAAACTAATGTTAAAAAATACAGTAAAAACAGCAATTTTGTGAAATATTATTACAATTTTAAGTAAGTGTTTTCTGTTTTAATATATTTTAAAATGTAATTTATTTCTGTGAATTTCCAGGGGTCATTACTCCAGAATTCAGTGTCACATGATCGTTCATATAATTCTAATATGCCGATTTGGTGCTTAAGAAAAAAAATCTTATTATTAAAAATGTTAAAAACAGTTATTCTGCTTAATATTTTTGTGGAAATGGTGATAGTTTTTTTTTTTTTTTCTCAGATATACACATCTTTCTCTTCTGGGAAAGTGAACCAAAAATATTGATGACATCATCTCTTGCTCAGGGGTGCATACATATTTTTGTATAATGACATACTCTCTAGAATGAGAACATCCCATCCCCAAATTTCACCTGCCACCAATTAGCAACAGCAAGTAGCTTTGTTTTGTTTTGTTTTTCCAGGCTGTGTCTCAAACTAAAGTCTATTGGCTATCTGACCTGCCACAACTTCCTGTTTCCAAAGTAAATACTGTATGTATGTCAACATAAGAAAGAAAATGTAATTTGTCAAACCATTCCATGGAGTCTTTAAAAACCATATGAAATCAAAATTTAACCAATCGATTTTTTTATCACAAAAAGAAAGTTTGGTTTCATAATCATAATCATAATCAAATTCGTAATTTTTTGTTGGCCACATGGGAGTGGAAAAAAAGAATGAATCAATAATATCATTATATAACAACAGAAATCAAATCCTGATGGATAAAATTAAGTCTTGCCCTACATAATTTGCCTGCTAAATATTCTGCATTACTCAAAAATACATCACATTACAGGAGTTGAATGTGTAATTTGTTGTTGTCTTCAATTATAAAATTGTTTAACTTGATGATACACCATAGTAACTACTAGTATAGCTCACCGTCTGTCGATGGACATGTAACACTGTCGAAGCCACTTAATCCCAGGCATCTTATTGCGAGGGGCCATTCCACACAGATACACCAATATGTAATTCTCAGACACCATCAAGTCCAACGTGCCAATAATGTACCTAAATCCAAATAAATCATTAAACGTGAATAAACATTTAAGTTTTAGAAAATAAAAGTCATTGCAATGAAAATTCATACCAAATCAATCAGGTTTTACCTGAAGAGATTGTCCATTACATATTCATAGTGTTCTGTTGTATTTTCTGGTAGGTAGCAGGAGGTGAACATAATGATGGCTGTTGATCCGTCCCCATAATATCCTAAAAAAGAAGGTCAAATTTAGTTGGTAATTTCAGTAAAGCATGTTCATCTCAGCTTGTTCCACAAAAGCTCACCTCCGTGGGAAAGAACTTGAAGGTATGGCTCCAGAACGCTCATGTTGACTTGGTAGTCTTGTCCGCCAATATGAAATCGTCTCCATCGTCGCCCATTGCTGTCCACCTGATCCAAGTCCAGGTGTCCCATCTCTGCGTGCTCCAGTAAACTGGCTTTTCTGATTGCTGCTTTGCCCATCCTGGGAAGATCATCTGCAATGACCACAGTACTAGTGGTAAACCAGTGCTCTGTGTAGATTTCCCTGTCTCATATTTGTGAAACCAATAAATGACACAACCCTAATGAGTGTCAAAATAATTGAATACCTTCCCACTCTAAGTCGTGCATGCTGTCTGGAAAGTTGTAAGACTCGCTGTCTGAGGGTGTCTCTAAGGCCTCCAGGTTAATGTCCATCTCTGGGTCATCATCAGGAGATGGTGAAAGGGCAGAAGCATCAAACTCGTCAGATTTCATGCTCCGGTCAGTAGAGGTTTTGTCCAGTGTTAAACTAAGAGTTGGCGCCACTAGTCGCTTCTTCCTGACGGTATTACCTGTAAGGGCCAGGCTAGTTGGAGGGACTAGTGGAAAGAAAGAAAAAGAGAGGTCAGGCATTACAAAGACATATACTGTACATACACACAACCATTCAAATTTTAGGATCAGTAAATGTTTTATTTTTAGATTTTTTTTCTGTTTTTCTACTTCAAATAAATGCTGTTTTCTATTAATCCAAAA